TTTCATATCTTTAGGGGTTGATGAATGCTAAGTCCAAAATCCAAATGATCTTAACTCTTAAGCCATGAATCAGTGTTTAATCCGTTGGACAATCTTTCAATTTGTATCAGACTAAAATGTCTTTTTCTTTTTATTTTTTTTCACTCAAGGGTACACCAACTTTTCGATCAGACTAATTCCCTAAAACTGTATAGAGTTTTATCCAATGATACACAGCAAGATTGCACACGAAATCGATCACGAAACCTGCTATTAACTACCAGACTACATAACCAGACGGACTAACAGCAAGGACTGGAATAAAATGTTATTAGCTGTGCACTTTTTTGGTTAATGGCACTCCAATTTCTCTTATGTTCTTACGCATAAATTACATAGGAAATAGCGTGGTATTATCAATGATTGGAGCACAAATATCATATCTGTTTATCTACCTATATACTATAAAGTTAATCACAAGCCACAACCACCTGGAAGAGCTTGGATTTTTTATGTGATCCTCAATATGCTCATTCACATTGAAGAGCTAACCATTCAAGAGGAACTGTGAATAGTGATCACGTCAAAAATAAATCTAGCTACTCATGGATCCATTTGGCAAAATTACTTTCGCCTTTCTAGCACTGAATATTGAATTCTCAAAGCCAGCCACATTTAGCCTTGCTCGAGAGAAAGAACATTAATCCCAAAAAAAAAAAAGAAAAAAGAAAAAGGAAAACAATATTATTGTCATTGAAAAGCATGAACAATTGGCATATCATCACCTAGCAAAGAAAGTATAGCTTGATAAAAGAAATGTCAATTGGTAACCAAATATATGTTCCTAAGTGATGAGCTCTCATCTCGAAAATAAAGCTGAATATTGACACATTCAAGACAAAGTACTAGTGTCAAGAGATTAAGTCATTAAACTCAGGATGCACAAATTCGCCAGCCAATGCTATTTTCCTCTTCCTAATGAAATCCAATCTGATTCCCACTTTCGGGGTGACAATATTGCAGAGATCTACAATCCTCGCCCAACAGGGAATGGAGCACTTGCCCGATCAAAGTTCTGATCTCTGGGTGGTCCTGTAAATTGTCAAAGCAGAGGAGATTACAAATTGCTAACATTCATCCACAATCACATCAGGTTAAAATGAAGACAGGCGGAGAAAATGAAACATACCTGTAGCATTGTGTGAGCAGCTGCGCGCATGAAGTTAAGAGACGCGCTCCGGTCTTTCAAAGCAGCAAGTCCGCTGTAATTTGTGTGGGGAAACAGGAGAGGTAAAAAACAAATGAATAAAATAAAGAAAATGACACCAAAAGCAGAGGCTCAAAGTTTGAATCACTCAGGGCAGTGCCTTACTTTGGAATTGTGCAGAGAAGATCGTAGCAACAGAATATGTGAAGTAGGATTCCGGTGAATGCCAAAAATGTCTTCACGGCAGTGGAAGATGAAGATGAGTTAACTTAATAACTTTTAGAGTTTGAACCACGTAATCTAAAGCCATTTATGGAAGGAACATAAAACTGGACTAAAATCTGTTACCATTTGGTCCCGAGTACTAACTAGTGAGTAAAGTAGAGACTTGTTATGTGGACTACCGACGCAGGCTATTGCTAAATGCTCTTCCAGTAATACTTCAAGAATCCGCATTCCAGTCTGTGATATAGAAGATACAGTTCATGCATTACAGGCTACATAAACTCAAAACTCAATCAATGGCTTCTACTCTCTTGTGATGTTCTGAAAGCGAACGAACTGCTCAGCACATGACATAAAGATTGGAATTGTCCGTTAATGGTACAGTTCATGCATATGTGGTTAGAACTTAGAAATCAAAGGCTCACCAGTTTGGCCAACTCACTTCCATGTCTCATGCCAATGTCAATACATTCTTGAGCATCCACCAGTCGATTTTGGCATCTTTAGCCTTTCAAATTGAAAGAAATAATTTGCAGTTGAAATCAGCAGATGAATACATGTCTCATGGACTGATATGTACCTTGCACAAGAGTTCAATAACAAGTAGGGCCCTTTCTCGAATGTCCTCGCGTATTGCTTCTGGCACTTTTTCATCAAAAAATGCTATCATACGAGGCAGGTGGTTGCAATAGCCATCTGCATTAAACATGGAACAAATTGTTGGTAATAGACATTTCGATGGCAAAATTAGTTTACAGATGGGAAGCTGGGGATTGAGGTACAGCAGAATCAAAATGTTATCTCACTCAATACAAGATCTGGATATGTAGCAGCAGCTGCCATGCACTGAAATGCAACCAGGTTAATAATATTAGTGTAGTTGCTCAAAACTGGAAATCTTCGCCACTGAATAAAAGACAGATAATGTTTTTGCAGATTCTCAGTTGATATTAATAATGGCTTCAATTCTGCAAACGTGGTTATATCTCTTATTCATTTGGATAGAAAATACAAACTAACAATGGGGGACGTGCAGATTAATTGTTTCAAGGTTCTGACAATTCCAATCTTCAGAATATCAGAAAGTTGAACAAGAAATCTAATAAACATATCTCAATTTCTTGCATCTTGGTGCTTAACTAATATACTCTGTAATCTTCATTAGTAAAACCTTCAAATCTCATTGTCATAACTAAACCATTCTTTTCAATTTACACAGAAAAATCTACATGATCACAAAGTAAGTGACGCATGCATTGAATACTAGGAATAAACAGTTATACCTCTTCCAAGATACCCATTGTCTGGTCAGAATAGAACAAAAAAATACAAGTAGCATTGAACATTTCTGCTTCTTCATTAGTAACAAGCTGCAAAAATCAAATTTCCAGTCAAAACGAGATTGAGTAACAAAACGATCCCACTAAATTCAACAGGAAAAGACGCTGTACAAAATCAACCGAGAACATGTTACTAATTAATGGTTCAAAATATCAAGTTCTGATGAACACTATATTCTGAATGCCCAACAAATGAGACAATTCCCAACTGATGAAATTCCATAAAAGACAACAAAAACGAGTTTCCTTGAGCTACTACCCCATATTCTGAATCCACACACAAACATTTCACTCAATATTTGACAGTTAAGAGAAGAATAGTGGAACCTGTTGAAGGTGATTAGCAAGGGAAGAAAGAGCAGATGCTCTTGTTTTTCGATCTCGAAGCTTAAGAATCATGGGTTGCAAAGCTTGATGCAGGTTCCTCAGAATTTCTTGATTTTCTTGGTCCGCCATTTCTCTTGATTAAACACTTCTCTGAAAGCTTTGGAGAGATGAATAGAAAGAGGTGAAGAGAGAAGTACAGGATTTCTTTATTTAAAGAGTGAGTTAAGCAGAGCAGGATCGTTAGTTAGTTATTTCGTTAATTCTCCCACTCAAACAAACCAACCGCTACCAAGGCTAGTTCCGGGATTTCACACAATAAAAATTACAGATTTTTTTTTATTGTTTTGTAACCAAAAAAAAATGTTGCATGTTGTTATTAGATGAAAATAAGTTATATTAGTTAAGTGTTATGAAATAACAAAAATGTGGATGTCCCTTTGTATTCCCAAGAGGATTAATTCATGATTTTATGGCTACTTATGTATAGAAGTTACAATTCATAAATCCATTCATGTAGTGGAGAAACCGTTTACGACAGGTACGAGACCAATGACCTTCCATACCACACCGGTAGCATTTTTCTTCATAAACTTTCTTTTCTCCATTTTTCACTTGATATTATAGTAGCTTATTTGATTAGTTTTATAACATTAAGGTCTTAACTCGGAACTTATTGTTATTTTCTTACACACGCGCATACATATTTGATTTGGAACTTTTCAACTTGAATAAAGATCAACTTTATATTTATATAATTAATGTTGCTTAAGAAAAATCAAAGAGGCCGATCATCCGAAGGTTGGTCTCAGAGTCTTGGAAACAATATATTCTAAGGGCAAATTATATTTTACCCCCCTATAATTTAGTATTTTTTGTACACAACTCTCTTATGGTTTCAAAAGCTATGCATAACCTCATCATGTTTGGTATTAAAATGTTAAAGTGACGGAAATGATCATTAGTAACAGAACCTTTTAAAATGTTGAAATTACCCTTGTTTAAAAATTAAAATGGTTGAAGTAACCAAAATATATAAACATAATATACATGACGCATTAACTTCGTATGATTTTATATTTTATCATATAACCCCCTTACGATTTAATGTTTTACCATATAACTTTATTATGATTTTCAAAATATACACATAACTCCCTGTAGTTAATAAATAATTTTTAACTTTACATAGGGGTATTTTTAACATTTTAAGCGACTTCGTTATGAATTGCAAATTCCGTTACTTTGACACTTTAATCCAAACCATGAAGGATTTATGTATAACTTTTGAAACCATAGGGGGATCATGTACAAAAACACTAAACCACGGGGGGTAAAGTGTAATTTGCCCTATATTCTAACGTTTCAACTTAGTATTGAATAAAATGTAATTTTCTTAGTATTAAGTGTCAATCTAATGCTAAGAAGTTCTTGGATGATACTGGCTTTGCAAGTATGTTTGATGAAGTCATTTAGATGGAATTAGCTGCATCCTGGAATAGTTTTATAAAGTGCATGTTGATGAAGTCTACTTTGTCCTCTTTCAGTTCCCTAATGCTCTCCTGGTTTGCTTCATGTAAAAAGTTAAAAGAATTTTTGGGTGGAATGCAAAATCTGCACTGGGTAAAAAATCAACAGTATAGGCAGTCGTGTTGAGAAATTTTAAAGAGAAGATAAAGAGGGAGGACAAGAATCTACTGTCAAAGCTATGAAGAGATCAATATTAGCATCCAAAAGCAGTTTTTCTTCATGAATTTCCTGTTCACGAATGGATGCTCCTGAATCGCGAATCCCTTCTTTAATGACAAGAAAGGAATATGGAATTGATAAACGTGAACGCCATTACAATTTACACCAGTGAAAAAAAGTAAGGAGCTATTGCTTTGCTCTTCATCTTAATGAGAATCGGAAGTTCTTGATCACAACTACGGCTGATGAAACAGTGTATCATCAGGCAGAGAAAGCAAGCGGAGATCTTCAGTTCCTCCAACGAAGAGAAGCAGTTGCTCAACCAAACTTTTGATGATCGGGAATTCCTGATATTCATCAAATTTTAAAGCAAATTAAATTCACAACTGAGACGGGATTTAATCGCAGTTGGTAACAGTTCATAGAGTCTTATCAGTCCTAGCAAGAGGTTAAGACAGGAAAACTGATAACAAAGCGATGGTGAAATGAGTTGGAATCACATACCTCGGTTTCATTTTGAAAAGTTCCACAAAGGAGGTGCCTCGACAGGTTCTTTCTTACAGCATTTAGTCCTCTGTTAATTGTAGAATGAAAAGCCAGCGGGAAAATTCACTGAGAAATGATCAACTTAGGATCTATATAAGCTGGAAGTGTTTAAGGACTGTCCAGGTCTCATATAGATGCAGTAAGTCTTAAAAAAAAAAAAAGAAGATATGATGCAATAATTTGACTAATCACTTGAAATGATATGCAAAAACTTCTCTAACGTTTCAATTGCTCTTGACAGCAACTTACCTTGCACGACTGCAGAGAAGGACGTAGCATCGAACAGCGTGAAATAGGAGCCGAGGAGAAAATTCTGGGTCGAATGCCAAGAGAGAGATCTTCACAGAAAATTCGAGTAAAGGACAGTAAAGATGAGATAACTATGAATTTAAATCAGCCATCATCTGCCAAATAGGATAGGTCTAGGCATTACCAAATGGTCCAAAGTCCTAGTTAATCTGTACAGTAGACAAGTGTTAGATGAACTGCAGATGCAGGATATTCCTGTACTGTCTTTTAGTATTGATTCAATGATGTGCATTCCAACCTGCAGTAGAGAATATTAACCGAGTGCATCACAATTCGCTGCATTGAAAAAAAAATGATAAATGATATGGGCAGATGCCAAAATTTCGGAAAGTATAAACACACAGTTCTGCCTGGTGGCCAATTTCCCGAAAGTTTTGAAGTGCAATTTCCTGATAGCTTTTATGAGCAAGACATTCTGGTCAATTGTTGGCCATGATTTCTGCAGCTAAACTTGAATTGTAAAGAGTTCCCGGAAATCTATCACGGTGTTTTTTCTTCTATACTGAACCTAGATAAGTGTCATAAACTAGTTATCTTAACTATTCAGCATCTTGGACTTACAGCACTGATACATGATACTTAATGAATCTGGATTCATTTGTATAGCATTGACAGAATCATTTCTTCAATAGCATTCAGAAATTTACTAAAAAGACAGATTACTGTACAATCAACTGTTTAGAACTTCCACTTAGAATTTAGATGCGAAAAACATCAGAAGTAACAATTTCATGCTGTTGCATTTAAAAGTGGATGACCAAACAAGCTGTCCAGCCTAAATCTGTTTATTAAACAATGGAGTATCTGACGAAGTGGAAGCAACCAGAACCCTCCTCCCAGTTTCCCATTTACCTAGTCCCACAATAAGCTAAGACCAAAGGAGAATGAAAATATGCAAACGCAATCAATGATTGGTACTTAATGGCTCACCACTTTGGAGAGTTCATTTCCAATTTCTAGGACCACCTGAGACATTTCAACCACATTGTTTCTTAGAGCCCAGTGGATGATTTCGGATTCTCCGGCCTTCAAAATCCAAACGAAAGAGAAGGAGCTAGTTTTCAGACCGCATCAAGTTAAAAGCAATTACACTTAAAGAACCAGAGAGTCTATCTGATAGATGTACCTGGCACAAAATGCCAAGAACTGATAAGGCAACTGCTCTTACATTCTCAAACAATTCAACTGACGTCTTAAACAGGATTAAAGGCATCAGAAAGTTGGGAATACTAGCTGCAAGAAACATGCAACAAATTTTCAGTCATGCATAACTATAAATTGTAAGCAAATTTGTTTATAGATGATATTCAGAAGTAAATCACACATGCAGAAATAAGTTTCTTACACTCAACAAATTTCAGTCTTGTTTCATCGTTAGCTGCAATGCACTGCAGTTGAAGTGTAAGATTTCAAAAGCTAGTACTCGATAATTGAAATAAATGATGATGAAGTCACAAAATGAATGTGCAGTAATATTACAACCTGGAAAAGAGTTAGTGCATTGATGAGACGCTTGCATGACCTTATGGTAAGATAGTCATCAGCCATCAGTCTAAGAAATGTCTGCACTTCCTGCTTCAAAAAAAAATTATGAGTTAAGGGTACAATCAACGATATGTTAAACACTGCATTCCACTGCAATCAAGAAATGTTTTCCAATCTCAGAATACTCTCCTGAACCTACACTTGGAACTCCAGATTTCCTGTACTATGTTGAACCACAGGGTAATAAACACAAACAACTATTACCTTAGCTTCTTTGTTATTCTTTTGTAATTTTTTTTCCAGCCAGCATGGAGTTAAAACCATTTCTTTTCCTTCTTTTTGAGATGATCATATGGGAAAACTGAAGCATAATAACTGTGGCATGGAGTTAGAAGGGAGACTACACCTGTAGCAACAGAGTCATAGTGCTGCAAGAAAAGTACAACATGTGGCCAGTCCTGAGGTAGTTTTCCGGATCAACGTCTCTTTTCTGTGAAATAATACCACCAACCAAAACAAAATTCAGAAAGAAAACACCCATACCAAAATTAAGAACTAGATTTACATAAATCCCACACCAAACTGGCCAAATTAATAAAGAAAAGTTGAAGAATCTAAGTAACAAATACCCAATCCCAGGATCGTTCTTAAAAGATACGAAAGTAAATCATCTTCAAATTTAAAATTCACGGAAATGTATTGACGAAACGGAGGTAAACTACACTTTTGTGTGCATCTTTGCGTCCTTGAAATTGAAGACAGAAAAGATCATAATTGATTACATATTAAGACCAGAACTGCAGAATGTCACCTCAAGAAGGAAGTTGCAAAGGCAACGCAGAGCAGATTCTCTTAAATGTTCATCTTGCAGCTCAAGAATGACTCTTGGTATAGCCATTGGTCTTTTCATCATCCATTTGACAGAATTCTTTCGATTTCTTCTCTTTTCCACTTTAGCGGTTGAAAAATCTGTATGGTATTCAAGAAAGGTGTTAAGCAAATGAAATTTAGCGAGAGCAAAACATGATCAATTAAGTGCACAGAAAAGCATGTAAGTTTTGGAACCATTGTCAATCTTGGAGTCATGAAGGAGGCTCAGAGTTCTCTCTTCCCAGTTTTCTTCAAGTGGGCTGTCCTCAATTTCTTGCAATTCCTGTTCCGCCATTTCTGTGAATCCAAAGCTTCTTGGGAAAATTCTGCATGTGAAATGAAATATCACGTGTGTGAGAAAGAAATAGACTATTCCGTTTCGAGGACAGACCATGTAAACAAACCGCCTTTCCTGAGGCTATCTTAGGGATTATAAAATAAATCATTTGCACATAAATTAAAAAATGAAAAAAATAAAGGAAAAACCAATTCAGGATATCATAACTATTTTCTCAAACCAATTCATTTTAGTTTTCAAGATTTGACTGGATGCACTCTCTGTGTTATAAGGCTCAATTGAAATGATGCTCAGTTAGAGGACTTTGGGAAGACTAATGGAAATTGAGTGCTCAAGATAATTAAATTTTTGGGTTAAATATACTTTACCCCCTCGAACAAGGAACACTTTACCACCCCAAACTCAGAATATATACAGTTTACCCCCTAATGACATCAAATTTTGGAACTCCATAAAAAAAATTTGGTGAACTGACATTAATGCCCATACATATTATCTATATAGACTACCATGTCCATTGGATGGAAATTTTAGCACCTTAATAATAGAAACTCATGTGATTTTTTTTCAAAAAAAAAAGAACAGGGAGATTAACGGATGAACCATCCTATTTGTCGAGAAAAGAATAGAGAAACAACCTGAAAAATGATGCCGCTGACTTTTGAGTTGCTGAAATTTTGTTCTTAAACAATATCTTTTGTACAAATTTAGTATGAAACTTGTTTTTGTTAATTCAATTGCCAATCAAGTGAGATAATATTCCCTCTTTTGGAATGTTTTAAAAGCCGTAGTCACAATAATATTATTTTGGTTATATTGATGAATATCTATCGTATACTTGGAGGAGTGTTCGCACGTCGTGCCGGTGTTTGATACCTGTAATTAAAGAAGATTTTTCATTGGATAAATAATAATATATTCTGGAAAAAAATAGTTATTAAATATGACAAAACTAATAATAGTACATTCTAATTGCAGCACACACTTGTACACTTTGGTTTATCAATGTTCTTACAATTTTACCATTCCCAAGAGGTCCATACAAATGTCAGTTGAAAATTACTCAAGAGGAGACATAAGTTGTTTCAAACAAAAGAATATCCTCCAACGGCTAGTTATAACAACGTGTTAATTTGTTTTTGTGTTAATTGCACAACAAAAGCCACACTTCAATTAAATGTGTCTATAACACCATTTCCGTAATTACACCAACACATAATCTTATATGAGTTGTACTCAATGCAAAAACGGTTGTAAAATAATTTCATATTCCAGAAATACCTAGATGTCTCCATAAATCGAAACTTTAAATGTACCAAAATGAGAGCATTTCGTTAAATATATCTAAACACATACTGCCCTCAATTGTACCAAAAAATTTAAAATAACTACACAACAATCCATATTTCCAAAAAGCTCCTATTCATGCGGTTGAAATTCAAACCCACCTTCGACCCCAACGCATTCTTATATAGTACAAGGATGTAATATGTTGAACATGGAAACTAATATTTCATTATCCATTCCTGGACAAGTTTGAAGTACATAACTATTTGCAATCATGGTAGCCAATGCCTTTCTAATTATTAAGAATGTTTATTTAATGCCTATTTCAGTTGGGTTTAGTTTTTGAATAGAAATTGGTGATGTCACTCAGAATCTTGAAATTGTTAACATGGGGGTGAAGTGTATATTTCCTTAGTATTGGGGGGCCAAGTGTTACTCATCCCCAAGTTTAGGAGGGTAAAGTGTAATTAACCCTAAATTTTTCCTCTTCATTTGTACCTTTTCTGTCTTTAAAATCTTAGCAAAACTTGCTTCCAAGAATTTTGCTTTCATAAATTGACAAATTTTATTTCCAAATGCAAGACTTCGTCCCATTTCTGGAAAGTGTAGATTTCTGGGGCACTGCAGACGTGTTATGCTTGTAATGCTGTAAAGCTTCAATTCTAAGGGAAATCCGAAATCATAAGCTTCATTTTTAACTCATCTCCTTGATTTTTATACTTCCAATAATGAAGATTAATTTCTTAGAAGTAAAACTTTAATATTGAAAAAAAGTCTATCCACAGCAGCAAGATCCTTGTCCTTGACAGGGAATGAGCGAAATACACTACAAACTTTAAGAGGGTTTACATAAAAATTATGAAATGCTTCCAATTTATGGCAAAAACCAATGAAAAGGAAAAGAAGCCTGTCCAAAATCTGATTCTCTCAATCTTCTGTCACATTTTTATTTAAAATAAGATATATACATGACAAGAAGAAACATGAGTTGGATGACTATAGATTTCAGCAGCAAGCAGCAGTTCCCTCAACTAGTTTGTTTAATTTGTTATTTCGCAGCCTCTCTGCACATTCTTCAACTTCACCCTCCTGAAATTTGTACCTGCCATCCAATCCATCCAATCAAAAAGCTCAAAGCTTCAGCTTCAGAACAGATAAGAATGCGTATATAACAAAGGAAGATGAACAAAAAGTGAATCATCTACCAGTAATTATCAAACAAAGAGGAGAAACTGAAAGAGCAACATCATATGCAACAATTGTCATTGGTTCTCTATTCTTTCTTATTCCCGAGAAGGGCAAGTCAGTAACAGGATTCATAACTTTGTTTGGTAAATAGGAATCATTAATTTGTAGCTTTTGATTTTGAAGGATAACAGATACTGTGGATGTTGTTGATATTTGCTGAAGTTTATTGTTCGGATGTTCTACTTGGGCTGATACTGTCGTTCCCAGGAGCATAATAAACCTATTATTTATACTGGAAGTCATCATTTATTCCCAGTCAATTCAGAAATTTATTCGTCGAATGAGTCTTCTGATATTTCAGTACCTAGGAGGTAAGGATATTAAAGGACTCAAGCTTTCTGCAAGTTTGACAGCTTCCTCCTCAGTATTCAACGTAAGGATATTAAAGGACTCAAGCTTTCTGCAAGTTTGACAGCTTCCTCCTCAGTATTCACAATTTGATTGAAGCAAAGGTATCGGCCAGTTGTGGATTTATCTTCAAAAGCTCTTATGTGAACATCTGCAAGAAAATTAACATCCACAAAAGCTAGGACTCCATTCTCATACATTTGTGCAGTTCCTGTACAATGATATCATGATGAGAAACTAATGATGGTTAACTCTGCATAAAAAGGTCTGCAACTTTGTTCCTAATTTCAGCTAACATGTACCTTGAAGATATGCCATTGTCACACGAGGATTCAGTTGCACAACTCCAGGACCAAGAACTAGTCCCGCATTGACGGATACCATGTTAAGCATTCGGTCCATAGCCAAAGCCCAGGCAGCTTTCTCAGAGAGAGTCTTA